CAAAATGATAATGATAAGAAAAAAGATAATAGTAGTACAAATAATAACAACGTAATATAAACATAACAGTTATAATAACAAGGAAAATAACAATAATAAACCGAAACTAAGAATCCCTCGCTTAACTCGGCAGCATCAACAACCAGCGCTTCCACCAGTTTGCTTCCCTCGCTTCATTTATTATCATTTATCTATTTATTTATTTATTTATATTTTGTCATTCTGTCATTTATTTATTCATTTGTTTTATAACAGTTATAATAACAAGGAAAATAGCAATAATAAACCGAAACTAAGAATCCCTCGCTTAACTCGGCAGCATCAACAACCAGCCGCGCTTCCACCAGTTGCTTTCCCTCGCTTTCAATTTATTATCATTTATTATTTATTTATTTATATTTATATTTTTGTCATTCTGTCATTTATTTATTCATTTGTTTATAACATTATGATAACAAGGAAATAGCAATATATAAACCGAAACTAAAGAATCCCTCGCTTTAACTCAGCAGCTTCAACAACCAGTGCTTCTCCCTCGCTTCATTTATTATCATCTATATATTTATTTATCTATTCATGTTTTGTCATTCTATCATTTATTTATTTATTTATTTATTCATTTATTTATCTATTTTCCATTCTGAATTCCTCTCACGCCATTTTCTATTCTATTAATTTGTCATTCTGTCATTTATTTATTTATTATTCACCATTTTATTTTTTTGTCATTCTGAATTGCCTCTCACGCCTATTTATTCTATTTTTTCATATTTGTCCTTCTAAACATTTATACATTTATTCATTTTTTATTTATTTATTGTCATTCTGAGTTCCCTCTCACGCCTATTATCTATTTAATTCATATTTTGTCATTCTTCATTTATTTACTTTATTTGTTTTATTTATTTATCTATTGTTTATTTATTTATTTTTTTATTTCATAATTTATTGTTTATTTTGTTTTATTTATCTATTATCACTATTCATTTAATTTATTTTTTATTCCATTCTGAATTGCCTCTCACGCCTATTTATCTATTTATTCATATTTTGTCATTCTGTCATTTATTTAATTATTTATTCATTTATTTATCTATTGTCATTCTGAATTGCCTCTCACGCCTATTTATCTATTTATTCATATTTTGTCATTCTGTCATAATTCATTTATTTATTCTTTATTTATCTATTGTTATTCTGAATGCCCTCACGCCTATTTATCTATTTATTGCATATTTTGTCATGCTGTTCATTTATTTATTTATTTGTTTATTTATTATTGATTTATTTATTTATTTATTTTATTTATTTATTTATTGTTTTTTGTTTATTTATATCTATTATTATTCATTTATTTATCTTTTGTCATTCTGAATCGCTCTCACGCACGCACAGGTCACAGCACGCCGAGAGATCGCTTGCATGGCGCTGGACTTGCGAACACTCGGTGCAGAGCATCCCCATCCCTCATAACCGGGGCAACGCGGGGGCCGTCTGGCTGTAGGCTTTCGCTGCTGTCTGTCTGTCTTTCTCACTGTCTGTCTGTCTGTCTGTCGTTGTCTGTCTTCTCTCTGTCTGTCTTTCGCTCTGTCTGTCTGTCTGTCTTCCTGTCTGTCCTTGCTCTTCTGTCTGTTGTCTTTTCTCTGTCTGTCTGTTGTCTGTCTTTTCTCTCTGTCTGTCTGTCTGTTCTCTCTGTTGTCTGTCTTTCTCTCTGTCTCTGTGTCTGTCTTTCCTCTCTGTCTTCTGTCCCTGTCGTCTTTCTTTCTGTCTGCTCTGTCTGATCTGTCTTTCTCTCTGTCTGTCCTGTCTGTCTTTCTTCTGTCTGCTGTCTGTCCTTATCTTCTTCTCTCTGTCTGTCTGTCTTTCTGTCTCTCTCTGTCTGTCTGTCTGTCTTCTGTCCTCCTGTCCTTTTTCTGTCTCTCTCCTCTCTCCTCTCTCTCTTCTCTCTCTCTCTCTCTCTCTCTCTCTCCTCTCTCTCCTCTCTCTCTCTCTCTCTCTCTCTCTCTCTCTCTCTCTCTCTCTCTCTCTTCTCTCTCTCTCTCTCTCTCTCTCTCTCTCTCTCTCTCTCCTCTCTCTCTCTCTCTCTCTCCTCTCTCTCTCTCTCTCATTCTCTCCTCATCTCTCTCCGTCTCCTCTCTCTCTCTCTCTCCGTCTGTTTCGTTTTTTATTTGTTTTTTGTTATTAGTTTTGTCTGTTTGTTGGTTACTGTATTCTGTAGTTTTTTGTCAATATTATCGTCTTTTTTTCTTCTATCCTCCTCATTGTTTTTTCTTTCAATTATTCTTAATTTTCCTCTCTTTTTGGGATTATCAGGATACTGTCATTGGTATGTATTTTCCTTTAATTAATCGTTGAGATAAAATTACTCTTTTATTTAACCGCTTTTCCTAAATACTTTTTATTCCTGTTTCGTACTAAAAATCTTATTTCTTCATTTTCTTTATTTATTGTTGCTGCCTTTCCTACTTTCTTTCTTCTTCTTTGATGTTGCATTATCAACGTTTTATTGTTTTCTCTTTTTCTTTTCTTTTACTTCACCAAAACTTGTATCAACAAGAACCACTAGTATCAGTGTCTTACTTACGTTCCTTTGTTACTTTTAATCCTTACCATCATCCATTAAATCATAAATCATTGATTTACTGTAGAAAAATAGAAAAAAAAATATATGATGACAATAAAATATCACAATCCGGCAACCTCTCTCTCTCCCCCGATCTGGCACCGTCCCTCGCAGCCGTTGCCAGATCCGAGCCGGCGTGAACACCGGGCCTGTCGTGGCGGGCGTCGTGGGAACGAAGATGCCGCGCTACTGTTTGTTTGGCGACACTGTCAACACCGCGTCAAGGATGGAGACCACTTGTGATCGTAAGAAAAAAAGGGAAATGGAGACAGATGTAGAGAGATAGGGATTGAGGAAGTATGTGAAAAGGAAGAAATAAATATTGAATTAGGAGTTATTTGTAGTTTTTTGGTTGTTTATACCAGTACGGTTTTGAGTATTTACTGGTTTTAACGTTCTCTTTCCCTTCCTTTTTTCTCTTCTCGCCCAACTTCTTTCTCTCATCTCTCTCTCTCTCTCTCTCTCTCTCTCTCTCTCTCTCTCTCTCTCTCTCTCTCTCTCCTCTCTCGTCTCTCTTCTCTCTGCTTTCTCTCTTCTCTCCTCTCCTCTCTGTCGTTCTCCCTCCTCCCCCTCGTCCCCCTATCCCTCTCTCCTCCCATCCTCCTTTTCTTCCCCCCTCTTCCCTCCCCTTTTCTTTCCCTCCTCCCTCCTCGTCCCTCCCCCTCCTCCCCCTCTCCCTTCCTCCCTCCCCCCTCCCCCTCTCCCCCTTCCCCCTCCCTCCTCCTTCTCCCTCTCCCCCTCCCTCTCCCTACCCCAGGCCATGAGGATTCCAGATCTCCCTGAGCACCCGGATGCTCTCTTCACCGCCGGCGGTTTCATCATGTGATGTTCAGGGGATATGTGGACGTTAAGGTGAGAAGCGTTGTCCTTTGGTGGCTGTTGTTGTTTGTTTGATCTTTATCTTTGTTTGCGTCAGTGTTATTAGTGGTGTTGTTGGTTATTATTATATTATGTATTATTAATTATTATTATGATTATTATTAATTATTATTATTATTATTATTATATTATAATTATTAATTATTATTATTATTTTATATATTTATTATTATTATTATTATATTATTATATTTATATTGTTTATTATATTATTATTATTAGATTATTATATTATTATTATATTATTATTATTATTTATTATATTATTATTAATTATTATGATTATTATTATTCTATTATTATTTTTTTTGTAATTATATTATTATTATTATATTATATTATTATTATTATTATTATTATTATTATTATTATTATATTATTATTATTATTATTATTATATTATTATTATTTTATTATTATATTGTTATCATTATTATTTATTATTTATTATTTGTTATTATTATATTATTATATTATTATGTTGATTGTTATTATTATTATTATTATTATTATTATTAATATTATTATTATTATATTATTATTATTATCATTATTATTATTATTATTACATTATTATTGTTATATTATTATTATTATTATTATTATATTATTAAATACTATTATTTATTTATTATTATCAATCATCATCTGTTATTATCATTCATTATTTGCATTATTATTATTATGGTTATTATTTGGTGCCATTGTTATTATTGTTTCGTGTTGCTAATTTTTGTGTTATCATATAATTATCATCACTATCATTACTATTATCATTCCCACCACCATCGATCATTACCATTATTATTACCAATATTATCATCACTTCCGCCCCCCACCCCTCCCACCCTTCCGCCCCCCCTCCCCTCCCCTCCGCCCCCACCCCTCCACCCTTCCACCCCCCACCCTTCCACCCCCTCCGCAGGGCAAAGGGGAGATGTCCACGTACTGGCTGGAGGGGCGCGACGGCCTCCAGCTGCAGGACGTGAACCTGGCGGGGACGAGCGCTGACGAGGACGGCATCTCCAACCCCGCCTTCATGCACATGGTGGACGACCTGCACGACTCCCCCGAGCAGAAGCAGGTCGAGAAGGAGAAGAAGTAGTGGGGGAGTTTTTTTTTAAAAGGAGGGAGGGAGGGAGGGGGAGGGAGGGGGAGGGAGGGAGGGAAGGGGAGGGAGGGGAGGGAGGGAGGGAGGGAGGGAGGGAGGGAGGAGGGGGAGGGAGGGAGGGAGAGGAGGGAGGGAGAGAGAGAGAGAGAGAGAGGGAGAGAGAGAGGGAGAGAGAGAGGGAGAGAGAGAGGGAAGAGAGAAAGGAGAGGGAGAGGAGAGAAGAGAGAGGGGAGAGAGAGAGAGGAGAGAGAGAGGAGAGAGAGAGAGAGGAGAGAGAGAGAGAGAGAGAGAGAGAGAGAAGAGAGAGAGAGAGAGATAGAGAGAGAGAGAGAGGAGAGAGAGAGAGAGAGAGAGGGAGAGAGAGGGAGAGAAAGAGAGAGAGAGAAG